GGGGCCTGCCTGAGGCTGCTGCCTGAGTCTGCCCCTCTGGATGACACAAGCTCAGAGACTGCCCACACGAGAGGCCCCAGGCACCATCGATCTTCACAGGAGCTTAGTTCTCTTTAGGAGTCCTGCAGCCTTCCTTGTCCTCACTAAAGCCTGCAGAGAGGAGGTCTAGGACCCAACCAGCAGGGCCCAGGCCAGACTCCTTCAAGGGGATAATCTAAGCAGTGGTCCTCAATGTGGGGTCCATGGGCTGAGGGTCCAAGCAAATGAACCCTCAGAGTAGGTCCATTCTATACCTTTAATCATTCTGAGAAAAATTAAAAAGTAAGTGAATTTGAGAGTCATCTTTGAATTTTGTAAGGATTACACCATATAGGGGTGCAGCAGAACCATCTAGAATGTAGCCCAGAGGTTGGCACCTGAAGTGAAAGCCTGAGGTCTTGCGTGGTTATTTCTCATGCTAGTGGTGTGATATTAACAGAACTGTAATTCCCTGGTTTGTTAGTGGACTGCTGCTGCATGTTCTGCAGTGAACACATGCATGTGTGTGCTCGGCTGCTCTGAGACTATGCAGGCATTCTGAAGAGCCCGAGCTGGCAGACTCGCCATATGAAAATTCAGTTGTCTCTCTGTACACGTGCATGTATGTATGTGCATGTGTGCGCACACATGCTTATGAGTGATCATGCATGTGCCATGAGTTCTTGCTTCCCTGGACCCCAGAACCCTTCATTTGCAGATGCAGACACCTCCTAGTGCCCCTGGCATCCTCCCTTGAGGCAACATGGTGTTTTCTGTCCCTCTTGTCACCTTACCTGAAAATGCTACGTTCTTTGCTGTGCTCCCTTAGGATCTGGCTCTGATAACGTGATAATGAATGATTATATTTAATGAGACACCCCTCTCAAGTCATATCAGTGCATTTTAATAGGGGCTTTCTGGAAAATACCTTAACCCTAAATTTTCCAATAGAACATTATTAGTTCAGTTAGTTGTTCTCTTTAAAATGATGATGATGACGACGACAGTGATGGAAGACGAGGAAGAAGAAAAAGAGAAACCAATGGTGAAATAAATTTAGGAAGTGGTGCATGCAACAACCTGTCCTTGGGAATTAGCAAAATGTGTCACATTATAAAGGATCTAAAATGACCTGCAATGAAAATTAAAGTTTTGTCTAATACTCTGTATTCCCTCCATCTTCCTCATCACAGGACAAATGCTGATAGACTGTAAGTGCCCTGGAGAAGGCAGCATTCAGCCCAGGAAGTCATTGTGCTGGGCAGTTGTAGGCCTGTGGTGGGTCAATGGACTATACACTGTTGTCTTTTATAATTAAAAGATATTTTGATAAAATATACATAACATGAAAGCATTTTAATCCTTTTTCAAGTGTGGTAGTTCAGTGGTGTCAAGAACATTGACATTGCTGTGTAACCACCCCCATGCCCATAACTTTGTCCGTCCTGCAGAACTGAAACTAGCTGTGAAACAATTCTCTATTCCCTCTTCCCAAAGACCCTGTCAGCCACCTTTGCCTTTCTCTGAACTTGACTACTGTAAGAACCGCACATTCGGTGAGTTACAGTATTTGGCCTTTTGTGACTGGCTCATTTTGCTTGCCACGGTGTCCTCAAGGTTGAACCAGGCTGTAGCAGATGTCAGTATTTCCTTTTCTTTAAGGCCTGATGACATTCCATTGTGTGGGTCCACCACTCTTTGTTCATCTGTTCGTTGTTGGACACTGGCTTGTTTCCCTCTTTTGGCTATCGCATATGATGCTGCATTGGACATTGGTGGACAGTAGTGGCCCTGGGTCACCTGTCTGGCAACCCCAGACAGGTGGCAGTCTGCACTCAGGAGACTGGTGATCCTGTGCTGTCTTTCTTTTGGTGAAAGTCAAGAGTATTTTTGCTGCTTGCCATCAAGGAGTAGCTTTATTTATGGAAACTACATACTATTTCCTGCTAAATAATATCTTCCCCTAGAAGTTGACAGACAGGCCTGCTGTGATGGGTGATTCCAAATATTTGCTGCATGGAGAACATGAGGGGATTCTCATGTCATGGGAGGAACAGCCCGTAAGAGTGGTCCCTCGGGTGTGTCAGGTCCTTACCCTCCCAGCCCAGCTTCTCTCTGCCAAACTAGGGTGATGGTGCTCCACAGCTCAGATGCTTTTCTAGTAGAGGATTTGCACAGGGAAATGACCTTGTGAAATCATCTTCTGCTGTGTAGCAGCACAGTGGGCAGAGTTGGGTGGCCTTGTAGCCCAGGAGCCTGGCTGAAAAACATCTTTTTAAAGATCACCCAACTGCTGGGGAGGCCGCGTCCTTGAAGATGATTTACTCCTCCTAACTGTGCTTCATTTTTCTCTCTTAGCTTATGTTCCTGAGGAAGAATTGAAGGCAGCAGAAATAGATGAGGAGCACGTGGAGGATGGTGGGGTGTCTTTGGACGTTCAAGAGAGCGAGTTTGTGTGCGATGAAGAGACGGAGATCAAAGAGGCCCAGAGCTACCAGAACTCTCCCGTCAGCACTGCGACCAACCAGGAGGCCGGCTATGGCTCGCCCTTCAGTGAGAACAGTGATCAGCTAGCCCATTTCAAAAGCTCTTCTTCCAGAGAAGAGAAAGAGGAGCCACAGTGTCCAGACGGCATCTCCTACCCCCAGGACAGCTTGGCACAAATCAAAGCCGTGTATGCGAACTTGTTCTCTGAATCCTGCTGGTCTAGCTTAGCTTTGGATTTGAAGAAGTCCAGTTCGACCACCAGCAACAGTGATGCTGGCCAGAAGGAGAGCTCCACTCCCACCCCCTCCACCACTATCGCCAGTACCGCCAGTACCACGGCAAGCACAGCCAGCACCAGCTGCAGCACCAGCACCAGTAACAGCAGCAGCTCCGGGTATGACTGGCACCAGGCTGCCTTGGCCAAAACGCTGCAGCAGACATCGTCCTACGGGCTGCTCCCTGAGCCCAGCCTGTTCAGCACCGTGCAGCTCTATCGGCAGAACAACAAACTGTACGGCTCCGTGTTTACCGGTGCCAGTAAGTTTCGGTGCAAAGACTGTAGTGCTGCCTATGACACACTGGTGGAACTGACGGTGCACATGAATGAGACGGGCCACTACCGCGATGACAACAGGGACAAGGACTCTGAGAAGACCAAGCGGTGGTCCAAGCCCAGGAAGCGCTCCCTGATGGAGATGGAGGGCAAAGAAGACGCGCAGAAGGTGCTGAAGTGCATGTACTGTGGACACTCCTTTGAGTCCTTGCAAGACCTCAGTGTCCACATGATCAAAACAAAGCATTACCAGAAAGTGCCTCTGAAGGAGCCAGTGCCAGCCATCACCAAACTGGTCCCTTCTACCAAAAAGCGAGCACTTCAGGATCTGGCATCCCCTTGCTCCCCAGAGCCGGCAGGCATGGCCACAGAGGTTGCGCTGAGTGAGTCGGCCAAGGACCAGAAAACAGCAAACCCGTATGTCACGCCGAATAACCGCTACGGCTACCAGAATGGTGCTAGTTACACGTGGCAGTTTGAGGCCCGCAAAGCGCAGATCCTCAAGTGCATGGAGTGCGGCAGCTCCCATGACACCCTGCAGCAGCTCACGGCCCACATGATGGTCACTGGCCACTTCTTGAAGGTGACAACCTCAGCTTCTAAGAAAGGGAAGCAGCTGGTTCTGGACCCTGTGGTGGAAGAAAAGATCCAGTCCATACCCCTGCCCCCTACCACCCACACCCGGCTGCCAGCGTCCAGCATTAAGAAACAGCCAGACTCCCCCGCTGGCTCCACAGCCTCTGAAGAAAAGAAAGAGCCCGAAAAGGAGAAGGCTCCAGTGGTGCTAGTGGGGGATGTGGACAAGAAGATCAAGGAGGAGAGTGATGACACCACTGAGAAGTTCGAGCCTACCGCTCTCTACCAGTATTTGCGCGAGGAGGACCTGGATGACAGCCCTAAGGGGGGCGTGGACATTCTGAAGTCCCTGGAGAACACCGTATCCACAGCCATCAGCAAAGCGCAGAACGGTGCGCCCTCTTGGGGCGGCTACCCCAGCATCCACGCAGCCTACCAGCTGCCGGGCACTGTGAAGCCGCTGCAGGCAGCTGTGCAGAGTGTACAGGTGCAGCCGTCCTACGCCAGCAGCGTGAAGTCGCTGTCCGCCACAGAGCACAATGCCCTCCTTCACTCCCCGGGGAGCCTCACACCCCCACCGCACAAGAGCAATGTGTCTGCCATGGAGGAGCTGGTAGAGAAGGTCACAGGTAAGGTCAGCGTCAAGAAGGAGGAGAGGCCTGCAGAGAAGGAGAAGAGCTCCCCCGCCAAGGCTGTGTCTCCTGTGGCAAAGGAGAATAAAGATTTTCCTGAGTCAGAGGAAATGGGTGGCAAGCAACAGAAGAAGGGGCCCGAAGCAGAGACCGGGAAGGCCAAAAAGGAGGGTCCAGGGGATGCTCACACCCCGAACGGCACGGAACCTCTCAAAGCCAAGGTCACCAATGGCTGTAACAACTTGGGGATCATCACAGACCACTCCCCAGAGCCTTCCTTCATCAACCCGCTGAGCGCTTTGCAGTCCATCATGAACACCCACCTGGGCAAAGTGTCAAAGCCTGTGAGCCCCTCTCTGGACCCACTGGCAATGCTGTACAAAATCAGCAACAGCATGCTGGACAAGCCTGTTTACCCCAGCACGCCAGTGAAGCAGGCTGATGCCATCGACCGCTACTACTATGAAAACAGCGACCAGCCTATCGATCTGACCAAGTCCAAGAACAAGCCCCTGGTCTCGGGCATGGCAGATTCTGTGTCATCGCCTCTTCGGGAGAGTGCCCTCATGGATATCTCTGACATGGTGAAAAACCTCACGGGTCGCCTGACCCCCAAGTCCTCCACACCTTCCACAGTGTCTGAGAAATCCGATGCAGATGGGAGCAGCTTTGAGGAGGCGCTGGACGAGCTGTCACCTGTCCACAAGAGAAAGGGACGCCAGTCCAACTGGAACCCCCAGCACCTGCTCATCCTGCAGGCCCAGTTTGCCTCAAGCTTGCGGGAGACGGCGGAGGGCAAATACATCATGTCAGACTTGGGCCCTCAGGAGCGCGTGCACATCTCCAAGTTCACGGGCCTTTCCATGACCACCATCAGCCACTGGCTGGCCAACGTGAAGTACCAGCTGCGAAGGACAGGGGGAACGAAGTTCCTCAAGAACCTCGACACAGGGCATCCTGTTTTCTTTTGCAACGATTGTGCCTCTCAGTTCAGAACTGCTTCCACATACATCAACCATCTGGAGACCCACTTGGGCTTTAGCCTGAAGGACCTGTCCAAGCTGCCACTCAGTCAGATTCAAGAGCAGCAGAACGTCTCCAAAGTCCTCGTGAACAAGACGTTGGGCCCGCTGGGGGCTGCTGAGGAAGACTTGGGCTCCACATTCCAATGCAAGCTCTGCAACCGGACTTTTGCGAGCAAGCACGCAGTCAAACTGCACCTTAGTAAGACGCACGGCAAGTCGCCGGAGGACCACCTGATCTATGTGACTGAGCTGGAGAAACAATAGCGTCCAGGTATGCAAGTGATCGCCGGACATTGCACTAACGTTGTCGCTGCACTGCACTAGGCCTGGCCTGAGCCGCTGAAATCAGTCTTTCCTTTGTTGTTGGACTGCCTACCTGGACCTTGGTTTTTCTTACACATATTTTGTAGTTATATTTATATGCTCTTTGTCTGATCTGTGCATGTTATTTTTCTTTTTTCCGTGAGTCAAAGTCTGACCTTTATTTTCAACATCTGTTCTTGATGTTAAGCTATCTTTTGTACGAAATAGTGGGGCACACTACTCAGAGACATTATTTAGCAGTAAAGAAAGACAAATAGCAGTGATAAAAAGACATCCTAAAATTACGAAGTTGTCATGATAATAAAGGTCATCGAACCTGGTAGTGTCAAATTTAACCCTTTGAGGACTATAATCACATCTCTGTGCCTTTCACGCAAAAAGAAAAAAAAAGAAAAAAGAAAAAAGCTTAAAGGCATTTCATTCAGATCAAAAGCTGTGTCAGACACAAAACTTATTTAATAATTAAAAAATGAGCTTTTATATGCAGGACTGGTTTGTGAGGAAAACATGCATGTAGCTGTTGGAAGACAGAAAGATGGGGTTAGCAAGCCACAACTTTATGTGTTAAAAACAAAACAAAAAATATAAACAACAACAACAACAAATACCCCAGTCACCACTATGCCCAAACACTCTGGATGCTGAAAAATGCCATTTTTGGCAAAAAAGTATGCAAGCTATTATTTAAAAATGTGTAAAAATGCTATTTCTTTTTTCCTGTAAAATACTGCAGTTTATAGTTATTTACAAATGTAAGCTTTGGTATAAGCTGATCTTTCTATAGCGTGCTGCATTGGTAAATGAAAAATAAAAAACAAAAAGGGGCAAATGTTGGAGTCCTTACCTTGTAAATTGCCAGAATCAGCTTAAAAACTCCTGTATGTTACATATCATATCATTTTAATCTATTCAACTTTCTTTGTACCTTCTGGCTGTATGCTTTCTCTTTTAACTTTTTATATTGTCATTTTATATTAAATTTCTGTGTATATAATGTAAAACCACAATTTTTGAATAAAATTTAGTTCCTGCAGCTTGATTTAAATAGAGAAATTTTACTGGCACCTGCATCTTCCCAGATGCATGTACTCAGAGGAACTATCAGACAAACTAAATAAATAAAAACAGAGCAAGCAATGCACTATTAATTATACATTTTGATGTTCTGTCATTAATATTGTACAGTACATTTTGGTTCACACAATTAAATCCACTGTTTTCTCAAATGTAAAATAAACCCACATGCAGTTCTTGATTTACACGGATTGTCATGTCGTCATTATTTTGCCTTTGAGATGTTATTTCAGCAACAAGAGGCATTGCTTATGTAACCAGCCAACAAAAATTCTATTCAGAATCATCATTTCATGATTTGTGTGCTGACATGCTTCATTCAGATTATCAGTATTGTGTTTTTTAAAGTGTTAATTAAATTTTTTTACCTCCAGTGGGTGCCAAGGATTACTGAGTTTAGCCATTGAGGGATGGCTGTTCGATAGCTAGTTGGGCTCCAGTGCTTCCTTCAAAGAACCCTTTGCACTGTTTAGAAATACTTGTAATTAACCTTTGTGTACACCTGGGGTCTTGATGAGTGCAGAGGGGAGATCTTGTTCCAGCAGTGCAGAGCTCAGGGATCTTGAATTTGTTCTGTGTTGCTGCAGAGAGAAAAATCTCATTTCTGAGTTTTTTAAACATCCAATTAAAAAAACCAAAAACTGGCTGCTGTTTCAGCCAGTGTTGGGGGTGAGTCTTACGTCTGTAGACTGGGGGGAAGCACTGAGCGCTGCCCTGAGCCCTTGGCCTGGGGGTGGTGACCTCGCCCTGAGAGCCAGCGCTGCCTCAGTCCATCTTGATGGAAGCTTGGCATCAAATCCGTCTCTCTGTCTCTCTCTGCTTCTCTTTCTCTCTCCCTTTTTCCCTCCCTCCTTCCCTCTTTCTTCTCTGGCAGCACTTAATGCCATTGGGACATTTTACTTTTTTACCTTTTGCTTAAATTTTCATCACATTGTAGCCTGAGAAAGGTAGCAGTTACATGGCTCTACTCCAGAGCAGCTAAACAATTGTGATATTTTAATTATTTCCCCGCACTGCCCGTGACAGCGAGGATCACCCTGTTGCCGTTAATAACTGCAGAGGAGCGGGGTCCAGGTGGGCTGCGTTTGCACAGGCTTCTTACTGATGCAGCAGAGTGCCAGGGAGGTTGGCTAAATTTTTCTGATTTTTTTCATTGGTAAATAGCTGTGTCCTTTAGCATCTTCAGCCATTTAGGCATTTCAGTTCAATTACTGAGTTATTATGTACTTCGGACTCAAGGGGTGACAGAGAGGAATAACAATTAGGCCAATGGAGGTAGCCTGGGGTCTTTGCATAATCACCTTTGGAAGTTATATTTATCCTACTGCAGACCCACAGATATTTCACCCTTTCAGAAGAGTTGCTGAGCGGTAGGTGGAGTGGGAGGAGTACCTCCCAGCAGCGACTTGTTGACAATCCCAGTGACAGTGCTGCTTACCTTGTGGGACAGATACAGAATTTGGGGTTTCCTTCTCAATTGTTTTTTCTTTGTAATTCCTCAACATTAGCATATCTGTTTCCCCAGTCAGTGGGTAGGGAAGGCTTTTTAAATACCAACTAGGATGATGATCGCAGGCCATACTACTGAGTCTGACTGTGCTGGGAACTGTCTTGCGTGCTGTACACACATGAGCTCGGTCCTCCCTCACAGCTCACTGCACTGGGGTCCATGGCCTTCGCCCCTTCAGCTGAGGAGTCCAAGCACAGCAAGGTTGAAGACTTGCCTGTGGTCACATGGGAACAGAACCTTGGGCTTTGAGCCCAAGGAGCTCATGCTGCATCCCCCAAGGACAGGCCCCAGGTGAGGATCTCTGATTTCATCTCCAGGAGGAGGCCAGGGATGAGGAGCTAAAGCCCATCCCTGGAAGGTGGGGTGGAGTTATCCTGGGCCAGGGGATGATGATGCAACAACCTGGGCAAGTAGACCACCATCATCAACTGCAGCCCACAGTGGATCACAGACTGCCAGGGCTGCACCTTTGCTAGGTCTGCAAAATAAGCTGAAGTAATGTTTGTTGTGAGTTTGTGACAACTTCAGTTGCACATAGGCATATCTAATAGAGTTTAACTTGTGTTAGAAATGACAGATTAAATAATCCAGGAGGAAATGTGCTCACAATTCGAAGGTTTCCTTGTTTCTGTTTCCTCCATTTCTAGTGGAATAAACGTACAATCCTTTTTTGTGTCCCAGGAAATGGGCCCCTCACGTGGTGCAAGGTTCTCTCTGTCCCTTCTGAGTCCTCTCTTGGCTCCAGGCAATGGATCTGCCGCTTCGGTAGCACAAGGACAAAGTGGCCCTGGACAGCTGGAAAGAGCCCCAGAGTGTTGGGAAGAGTCTGGAGAGAAGGCAAGTATGTCCCAGGGCAGCATTTCTGTTGGCATCATGCACGTGCAGAAATAACGTTTCACACTATGTGTGCAGCTTAAGCCTTGGGCTTACTAACTAATTGAAAAATTCTTTCCTTTGAATGTTGATTTTAAAAGTTTGAGATGTTCTCTAGCATGCACAGTAGGTAAGGATGTTGTGGTTTAGTCAATATTTGAGCAGAGATAAAGCTAGAGAACCTCTGATAGACAAGAGTTTATGTAAGAGAAACAGACTTTTAGGCAGTGTACAAAAAAGGAATGATTAAAAAGCTTTAAGATTTATGTCTCGGGCTGGGGATTTAGCTCAGCGGCATGGCGCCTGCCTGGTAAGTGCAAGGTCGTGAGTTTGATTCCTGGTACCGGAAAAAAAAAACAAAAAGAAGATTTATGTCTCTGTAATTCTATAATTAATAATTCTATAATTGATAATCATAATTGTAATTCTATAATTGATAATTCTATAATTGGTAATTCTATAATTTAGAAATACATTCACAAAGCATACCTAAACTACTTCGGAATTTTTGGAAACTTATATGCACAAAGACTTTTTTTTTTTGGCTTTTGCTTTTAACCAAGATATATTTTTATTTACTTTATTATAATTTCTCTGAAGATGGTAGATTCTACTAAAAGCTAATTATTGAATTGTGAATTTAAAAGATGCCTTAGTAAAAATCTCTTTTGGAGAGAACGTGTACTTTTTATGTAGATTTTATTCTTGGGATAAAATGGTATATAGTCATTGCAGAAAACTTGGAAAACAAAAATCATGAAGAAGGAAATAAAAATTAACTATTGCTTTCATTTAAAAAATCAATATCAATTTTTAAATTCTAAAATACTTTTCCCCATTCTCCCTACAAAATAGGGATCATGCTCAACGTTGTTTTGTATCTTGCTTTTATGTATTTATTTATTTTTTTGTGTGTGATGCTAGGGATTGAACCCAGGGCCTTTGCACTGAACTCCTAAGGCTGGGTTCCTCAGCCTTAATTTATTTTGAGACAGGGTCTTTCTAAATAGATAAATTGTCAAGCTGGG